CGCCATGGTATTGCATCATGCGTTCTTGTCACACTATTTAGTGACATACTATAAATAATTATAATATTTGTGTTGCACAAAAATAGATAAATAATGTTTATGGAAATTAATAATCCCCAGAAAAATTTTCCAATATAGAAATACTAGTGTATTACAATACATCGAATTAAAAATTGAAAGAAATTGCAATATAAAATATTCCATCAGTGACACTTCTCCATGGGCGTATTTCACGGTCAGTGTTATTTACGAAAATATTTGTTTACAATTTTATAAATTGGCAATTCCCACCATCAATGCGTACTATGATTGCATTTGAGTTTTTCTTCTTTTTTTTTTATCATTTTAATGGATGTACATATTTGAATACAAACAGGTATTTAAAAGAAAGTCATTATTTTCCTTGCCATAATGATACATTTTCTCCTATCCGTGTAACTTCATGCGGAAAGCTTTATAGAATGTTGGTGTCCTAGGTCATTAACAAAAAGTGTGGACCAAAGTGGAGATAAGATACTACCTTGCTGAACCCCAATATTACAGTTAAAATAATCTGTGATGCCCCTCAGGTAAACGAATACGCTGGAATACATTGAGTAAATTACACAAAATAGTTTGCCATTTAACGCTAATTTTGTAAGCTTGAAAAATAAGTAGTAGTTTATGGTGTCGAACCCTTTCTGTAAATCAATAAAACACAATACAATCTACCCTGAGGATGCAGATATCTAGTAATTGCACATTGCAGGATGGTGGAATATTTAGTCCACGTTCGGACGCGGTCCGAAAAAGGGGACTTATGTTTTAACCGTGCGTGTGTGCGTGCGTGCGTCCGGACCTGTATCTTAGAAGTGACTGGACCAATCACAATCAGATTTCACACATACATCATACATGATATTATACATATGCACATCAATTTGTTTCACGATCTGATTCAAGATGGCCGAATGGCGGCCATTTTTGTTCCAAAAATCATCAAAATCAAGCATTTCTCGGCTGTTTACAGATGGATTTTGTACAAACTTGGTATATACGTTGGACATTATAGGACCTTGATGCACATAATTTTGTTTTTTTTTCAAATAAGATTCAAAATGGCCGACTGATGGCCATTTTGTTTTAATGAATGTGGTTCTAGTGCCATATCTCTGACTTGCTGTGACTGATTATGTTCAAATTTTAAATATTCATTATACGTCATATCATAGATATACAGATATAATATTGGTTTAAAATTACGGGTTCCTGATGCACGTTATTTTTTTTTTAGATCGGATTCAGAATGGCTGACTAGTAGCCATTTTGTTTTAATGAATGGGCTTCTGCCATATCTCTGACATGCTTTGACTGACTATGTTCAAATATTATATATTCATTATACATGTACTCAAAATGGCTGCATTTGGTTTAAAAGTAATCCTGTTCCAGAGCAATATCTCTCAATACTCGTTTGACGATCAGATACAAATGTCAATCATGTTAATGTTAAAAAATCATATTCCTGACATGATTATATTCCAGCTATATTAGTATAAACAAAACTA